CCCCCCCCCAACCTTTCCCCCCAAAAAAAAGACAAAAAAAAAAAGAATAAGTAGAAGTTGTAGTTCAAATAATTGTAATGTATCCCTTTGAGCATGATTCAATGTATGTGGTGTTTTTTATTTTTATTTTGAGATGTCATTATACAATTATTATATACATATATATACATACTAGATACATGAGTTCATACAAGTAGCTTTATGAAGATATTTGAAATATTTGAGAAATATTAGCCCATTAGAAACATTTTTGGTCCATTTGGATAGTCTGATACAAGTCATATAAATTGAACTTTTATTTAGGCACAAAATAAAAAAAATCCAGTCACAATGTGAGCAATAGCTATGGTATTGGATTATTTGCACAATATAGCTTTTTTTAGGCAACTCTTTAAATTTTGTCCCTAAATACAAGTTATAAAAATGTAATTTTCGTAGTAATGTTTTCGAAAACTATTTTCCTTCCACATGTAGGACTTCATCAAACATCATGGGCAGATGTAGGCGTACATGCCGTGAGTTCATCTGAATTCAATAACTTTAACTCAAAAATTTACAAAACAAATATAAATAATATATTTTAATAGTAGAATTTTACTCATAAAACTCATTTTTTGTCAGTTGTCACCATAAAAGGTGGAAACAAAGGGTAGTATGCTATATTGCTTCAACTCTAGTAGTTCTAAATTGTATTTATATATTCACATCTGGTGTTTATATCAAGTCAATAAATACATTACACGTGTTTGTACATAGACTTTTAACACTTAATCAAGATTAATTAATATACATTCTCACCTCATTAAATCATTCAAATCGTAATAAATTTACATGATTTGATATAAGAGACTACCAATCTCATAGAATTTCAACCAAACCAATACTAATTCATGAGAAAAATTATAAATACACAACTAATATCAAGCTCTTTTTGGTATCACTTTCAAAGGTTGTTTTTTCCTTGCTGTAATTCCCATACTTTCCTCCATGTTAATGGACTTAGGAGAAACATTATGAGGAAGCTCCCAATCAAATTCATTAAGCAACGATCCAAACGCGAAATGCATCATACGATGACCTAAAGGAAGGCCAACACACATCCTTCGTCCAACACCAAATGGAATTAACTCGTGATTATGCCCCTTAACATCTATTTTTGACTCTAGAAACCTCTCGGGCGTCATTCCAACATTCAGGATCTCTTCCAATTGCCCAGACGTTCACAAGCACTTGAGGGACGAGGCTTTGGTTGAAACACCTGGTGGTGGGGGCACTTGGGGGATGTTGAGGGGACTTGGGTGTGTGACAAGGCTTGAGTTGAAACAGGTTCGTCATTGGTATGCCAATCATGGGCAGAATAACTGTTATTGGGACTACTTCCACCAGAACCTCCTAAAGCGCCACTGCCACCACCTTTGCAATTCCTGAGAACGATAAAAGAAGATAAGGAATTTTAAAACATACAAAAAAAAAAGAGAAAAGAAAAGAAAAAAACAGACAGATACTCACAAATTTTCAGTATTGTTAATGACAACAAAATGTCTTGGAGGGACTTGGGTGTGTGACGAGGCTTTGGTTGAAACACCTGAGGGAGGCACTTAGGGGATGTTGAGAGGACTTGGGTGTTGGCATGTCAATCATGGGCAGTAGAACTGTTATTGGGATTACTCCCGCCAGAACCTCCTAAAGCGCCATCGCCACCACCTTTGCCATTCCTGAGAACGATAAAAGAAGATAAAGAATTTTAAAACATACAAAAAAAATAGGCAGATACTCACAAATTTTCAGTATCGTTAATTACAACAGAATGTCTTTGGGGGACTTGGGTGTGTGACGAGGCATTGGTTGAAACACTTGGTGGTGGGGGCACTTGGGGGATGTTGAGGGGACTTAGGTGTGTGACAAGGCTTGGGTTGAAACTTCGTCATTGGTATGCCAATCATGGGCAGCAGAACTGTTATTGGGACTACTCACCGTCACCACATTTGCCACTCCTGAGAACGATAAAAGAAGATAAAGAATTTAAAACATTAAAAAAAAAATAGACATATACTCACAAATTTTCAGTATTGCCAGAACCTCCTGAATCGCCACCGCCTATGACACAACCATGAACTGGACCCTGATCTGGTCCCGAATCGGGATCCTTACCCTTATTCCTGAGAACAATAAAAGAATTCTACATACCAAAAAAAGGAAAAAGAGAAATAACAGTTTAACAGATATTCACAATTTTCAATATTATTCATGACATTAATATCGATAAAAGAAGATAAAGAATTTAAAACATACAAAAAAAAAAGAGAAAGAAAAGAAAAAAATAGACAGATACTCACAAATTTTCAGTATCACCAGAACCTCCTGAATCGCCACCGCCTCTAACACGGCCATGAACCGGACCCTAATTCGGGCTCGAACCCTTACCCAGAACCAAAACCGAACCCTGATCCGGGCTCGAACCCTTATTCCTAAGAACAATAAAAGAATTTTACATACCAATAATAAAAAAAAAGAAATAATAGTTTTAACATATATTGATCACAATTTTTCAATATTATTCATGACATTAATATCGATAAAAGAAGATAAAGAATTTAAAACATACAAAAAAAAAAAGAGAAAAAAACAGGCATATACTCACAAATTTTCAGTATCGCCAAAACCTCATGAATCACCAGCGCCTCCGACACGGCCATGAACCGTACCCTGATTCGGGCCCGGACCATTACCCTTATTCCTGAGAACAATAAAAGAATTTTACATACAAAAAAAAATAGAAAAGAAAAGAAAAAAACAGACATATACTCACAAATTTTCAGTATCGCCAAAAACTCATGAATCGCCAGCGCCTCCGATTCGGGCTCGAACCCTTACCCAGAACCAAAACCGAACCCTGATCCGGGCTCGAACCCTTATTCCTAAGAACAATAAAAGAATTTTACATACCAATAATAAAAAAAAAGAAATAATAGTTTTAACATATATTGATCACAATTTTTCAATATTATTCATGACATTAATATCGATAAAAGAAGATAAAGAATTTAAAACATACAAAAAAAAAACAGACAAATACTCACAAATTTTTAGTATCGCTAGATACTCCTGAATCGCCACCGCCTCTGACACGGCCACTAACCGGACCCTGATCCGGGCCCGGACCCTTATTCCTGAGAACAATAAAAGAATTTTACATAAAAAAAAAAAAGAAGAGAAATAACAGTTTTAACAGATACTCACAATTTTTCAATATTATTCATGACATTAATATCGATAAAAGAAGATAAAGAATTTAAAACATACAAAAAAAAAAAGAGAAAAAAACAGGCATATACTCACAAATTTTCAGTATCGCCAAAACCTCATGAATCACCAGCGCCTCCGACACGGCCATGAACCGTACCCTGATTCGGGCCCGGACCCTTACCCTTATTCCTGAGAACAATAAAAGAATTTTACATACAAAAAAAAATAGAAAAGAAAAGAAAAAAACAGACATATACTCACAAATTTTCAGTATCGCCAAAATCTCATGAATCGCCACCGCCTCCGACACAACCACGAATCGGACCCTGATCCGGGATCGGACCCTTACCCTTATTCCTGAGAACAATAAAAGAATTTTACATACCAAAAATAAGAGAGAAGAGAAATAACATTTTTAACATATACTCACAATTTTTCAATATTATTCATGACATTAATATCGATAAAAGAAGATAAAGAATTTAAAACATATAAAAAGAAAAAGGAGAAAAGAAAAGAAAAAAACAGATAGATACTCACAAATTTTCAGTATCGCCAAAATCTCATGAATCGCCACCGCCTCCGACACAACCACGAATCGGACCCTGATCCGGGATCGGACCCTTACCCTTATTCCTGAGAACAATAAAAGAATTTTACATACAAAAAAAAAGAGAAGAGAAATAACAGTTTTAACAGATACTCACAAATTTTCAATATTATTCATGACATTAATATTAACTAATTTCATACTCATCTAGAGTTTAAGGTCGGTAGAATTGACAACATGTCGATGGTGAATGACCTTTTCGAGTAAGGGGTATCCATAATGTTGAACCATTAAGTCAAACTCATCTGCCTCCTTAAAGTATTTCTGAAATAAACATTCTGGACCAACACAATCAACTTCGACGTCGTCAAAGCAGACTTACTTTTCTACACAAATCGGACAAAACTCATCTATAGGATCTATGCCATAGAATCTGTAAACAAATAATTTTTTTCAAAAATAAGCTTTTTTTTAAAATAAATTAAGTGTGAGCATTGAAGTGCAGAACGCAAAGCAGAGAACCAAACGGACGCAGAAAACATGGAATCACAATGCAGTGACATTAATGAAAAATAAAAAAACAAAACAAATACCCAAGTACAGAAAAAAAATGTCGTGAAGAAAGCTATCCTAGAAACAAAATCATTTTCAAACAAAAAAAACTTCAAGAAAAACGGAAATGAACAAGGAAATTAAGTCATTAAACCATCAACTACAAAACCAACTCCATCAACAAACAAAATGAAAACAACACCAAATATATCCAAAAGTTTGCAGAAAAATGCCGTGAAGTAACCGATCCCTAAAAGTATTACTACAAAACGTCCAAAAATGACAAAAAAAAACGAAAATGAATGCCTGAAACGAGTAAAATGAAGATTATCAAATACACTTTCAAAAGAATCACTAGCACATTGAACATAAAACGCATTATAAAAACAAACAATCGATACCTTCGTAACAACAATGGCCACTACAAGAAAAATAACCTTTAGCGAGGGGACATTTGGTCGTTAAAAGTAAAATCTGATCGTTAAAGGTCATTAACGACAAGAATAAATCCAGTCGTCGCCCGTCGTTAAAGGCTCAGACGTATAAAGTTTAGCGACGACTTTCTATCCGGTCGTTAAAAAATTTTTTAATGACAACATGAAATCTAGTTGTTATATGTCATTTAGTGGCGATAGGATTTTTCCTACACTAATTTATAAATATGGTCGTTAAAAATATTTACTGCAACTAACATCTAACCACTACAAGTATTTTTTACGATCGAAGTTCCCTTCGTTAATTTGTATGCTAGTTTGGATATCAATACTTTTAACGACCAAATCTTCTGTCGCTAATGGTCATTTCAATATTAGATACGCTAATCATAAAAGAGTTCCAACAACCACATTTCCATTTGCTAAATATTATACTATTAACTAATAATAATGATGATGATGATAATAAAAAAAAAAAACATATTCAAAAATATATTAAATAATTAAATTGATATAAAAGATCATCATTAATAAAAAGATCTAAAGATATATATACCATATCTAAAACGTATGGCATCAATATTAATTAACTTCTAATTAGAAAGAGGAAATTTGTTGTAGTCTTTGAACCGCGCCTAATAAAATCCTTGCAAACTTCAATTTTTCTCTTTACTTTCTTGAACGATCAATTTTTCATATTCAAATTCTTGAGTTGTAAAATAAAAGTGTAAGTTTAATAACAAAGTATTAATAGTTCAAAAAAAAAACACGTAGGATCTCAAAATATTAACTAGAAAAGATGCAACAAAAAATTAACGGCTCTAAAAAAGCATGTGAACAATAGCTAATATACTTATCGGAGAGAAACCAATGACTAGGGACTATAAGGTTTTGATAGAATACGTGCACATTAATACATAGTATTATCAAATGCACATATGTAACCCTTACTGCACATTAATACATATTATCAAATGCACTTGGAACTACCTAGTGCATGAAGGTGAATCATAAATCTTTGAATTTCTTTTTAATATATGGAAGTACGTATTCACCTAGATATATACCAGAAACATATCACTAACAACATATATGTGGCTACGACACATAATTCATAGTTTCTAGACAAGACATGAAGCTGAAATTTGTTTACCATATCATATTCTACACTACTTAATTCTGAGAAAATGGGAGCAAATATTTTGAATAATATTAACCATTGAATAATCGATAGACTCGATGTCATCCTGACTCAATGAGGACTTAAGAGTGCTGCGACATGATACTAGCCAAAAAAAAAGGAGAAAGAAGACTAGCACATTAACACCATTATCTTGTACTATCTACCAAGACAGCTGAACGTATGAAAAACTCATAGCATAACCTTAATGAGATAGTTCATCCTCTGTGCACAGGCTCATTCCTTTAACCCGGGTCCCAAATTAAATGTAATTTGACAGTATATCAATCATCATGGCTAGATTCGTAACATTACTCTGTCCCTCAAAAAGAACCTTGCCCTCAAGGTTCAAGTAAAGTAGCACAAAGATCATATTGTCTCTATCCATGTTAGCATCCCAAATGAAGTCCTGTCCAGAAACTCCAATTGCCAACTCTGTGCATTTGATCTACCAACCAGTTGAGCCAGTTTGCCTCAAGCACAGCCAAATTATGAAGAATAACAACATTGACATCTTGAATAACTAAGCATGCGTTCCCCATCTCCGAAGAGTTACAATCACAACTGCTTGTGTTGTCAACAATACTGGTAGAATAGGTCATGTCATTCTTAGATCTTTTCCAATAAACTCTGTGATTTAGTCCATAACCTAATGCACCAGATGTTTCACAATACTGTGTATGGGAAATTTACATATGCTCCACCAAAACGTATGTTGATATGCAATAACACTAGCAGATTTGCTCGGTGTGCGCAAAGGAAATGCCTCGAGAAAATAACATATTATGGAATAGCGAGTGAGGTGATTTTGTTCAAGTGCTTGGGCAGCTCCCTTGAAGTGTTTGACAAATGCCTGCTGATTCTCGCACTTGCTGCAACATTCAACATCATTATTGCCCCAAAATTCATACTCCACTTTTGCATCAGGATCAACATAAATCATACTGCAGATAATTGCACCTAATCGTAACCAGATCTGCAAACACAATAACGAGCTTCATTAGCCTGTCGTATTTACTTATCCTCTTAGCAGACTCCACCCTGACAAGATCTGATCCTCGAACTTGAACCATAAGATGATCTGGAAACTTCAATCCGTTCACATAGTAGTATCTCCCAAATTCTCCAAATTAAGATCAATTAGAATATCACAAATGTTGGAACCATTACTGTGCTTATAATAATGGCTAACATTCTTTGCCAAATAAGCCAGAGTGTTGTGGCTCTCAACCTGCACTGGTGGTGCCACATGGAAACATAGCAAGCAATAGCAATGTTCTCACACACATGGTTATCAAGTGTGTCCACCAAGGAAATTTGTCCATTTCGATTCAGCTTGAAAAACTCGGGTGTCTTGTGTGAGACACACATTGCAAAATTCCTATCTATCTCAACATGTATCCTAGCAGACGCTACAACAAAAATCTTCGTGAAGGCATTGACGTGTGCATCTGATGCGTGTGAAATAAGAGAGGCATGGCTGTAGACTTGGGAATACAGTGATATGCTAGTGTGGAAAGGTCATAACCTCTCAGTATAGAGAAAGTCAGATTGAAAGCCTCTTCAAACTCCAATGTAAAAACAAGAGACTCGTCTGCAACAGCCGCAACTTGATTCTCTCCAAACGTCATTGTTGGTATCACATGAAATGCATTAAATGAGAGACACCACTGAATAACTTAACTGCCCCGTATCAACCCAAGCATCCACAACACTACCAAATGGTAAAATATCTAGAATTGGCTCAAGCTCAAAATGGAGATATGAGCATGTTCTCTTATGACAACAACAAGTATCTAGTACTCGACTGAGAGGAAGCTTCTCACCCGAGAGTTCAAATTTATTGTGTCTACCGGTGACATAAGACGGTGCATAAGAGTTGAAATTGGGGAATAAGCATGAGCGATGGCTAATAAGATCGGATGCACATTTAGATATTGGTGCAAAACTCTTGGTTGTTAACAACTAGAGTCTGTTAAACCATACTCATTGAACCTTCAAATTAAGCCTGTATATCGCACACTTCCTCCGATACTTCATCTTCTAGATCAGAGTGACCCTCCGAGCTGAAGGTTGTCACATCGAATTGCTCATCCACAAACACCTTGTGGTTGGATTGTTGGGAACATTCATTTAATAGGTGGGCTTCGGTAGTTGCTGCAAATCCTTCTGGAGACATAACGACCTCATTATCTGAAATAAATGGTGAATTCTCAGCTAATGGCATTTCATCGAACATTGTTCCGCATTTGACTTACCAACTTTGGAAGTAATTCAAACTTACAATAGGTAGGGATAATGTTCAAATCAGCAAACGAAAATACTTGGGTCACTGGTGTAATCATAGATGCATACCTGGCATAGTCAAAATGAGCCTGGAAAGGATCAACCAAAATCCCCATTGGTGCAGTAACGGCGCTGTTCTGAAATCGCAGCACCACTTCCAATCAACTAATTGATTGTTGCGAGACATCCAATGAAACCATTCAAGGGCATCACCATCGAAATAGGAGGAGACATAATGTAATTTATGGGCATTTGAGATGGCATAAAAATCAAAACAGAGCTCGGCCTGTAAAACCCAACCCACTGCATTATAGCCGCTGAATCGACCCAACTCCACTGGAAATGGCTGAGAATGCATTGAAGTAACTTGAGACCACCGAGCTAGAAGCAGTTTCTGATTAGATTCTGTAAGAGAATGAAAACCAGAGACTGATGAAGTGAAACCCATTGTTGAATATGAAAGAGTTGTCAGTTTGTTGTCCACCATAGTAGATAGTTGATGGAGTCAATGAAAGCACCAATGTAACAGACTAAGGTTCGTATTGATCATAAAACAACTTACAAGCTGATTGAAGAACAAAAGAAAAATAAAAAAGGGAGATTCCAAAGTGCTATTATAAAATAGCTAATTAAAAGAAAATAACATAACTCATAGCATAACCCTAATGACATAGTTTATCCTCACATCTTTAGTGCACAGACTCATTCCTTTAACCCGAATCCCAAATGTAATTTGACAGTATATTAATTGGGTTCTGCATTGTGGCTAGATTCATAACAAGTACTTATAGGAGTGTTCACACAGAAAAGTGAAACCAGAAAAAAAGAGTACATCGGTGTTCCTTTTCTTCATCAAGGGGAGGGATGGGGTGCGTGGAGAGACGTGTGTGGTTGAAAAAAATAGACAAAATTATTTACTAATGAGAAAATAAATAGGGAAAATATTAAAGTTGTAATTAGAGCATTTAATTTTCTATTATCATTAACAACCGGATATCTACTTTTAACATCCGAAAATTAATCCGTTGTTAGTATTAAATAGAAAACTTATTTTAACGACCGAAAGAAAATTGTGGCGCAATAAATATACTTTTAACGACCGGATTCATATCCCTTCATAAAGAATTGGTCGCTAAAAATAGAATTTCGTGTAGTGGGCAAACCAAGAAAGAGTATTTAGAGAAGATGTATTGTATTTATTCACATCTGATGTTTATATCAAGTCAATAAATACATAACACGTGTTTGTACATAGACTTTGGACACTTAATCATGATCAATTAACATACTCTCAACTCATTAAATCATTCAAACCTTAATAAATTTACATGATTTGATATAAGAGACTACCAATCTCAAAGACTTTCAACCAAACCAATACTAATTCATGAGAACTTATAAATACACAACTAATATCAAGCTCTTTTTGGTATCACTTTCAAAGGTTGTTTTTTCCTTGTTGTAATTCCCATACTTTCCTCCATGTTAATGGACTTAGGAGAAACATTATGAGGGAGCTCCCAATCGAATTCATGAAGCAACGATCCAAACGCGAAATGCATCATACGATGACCTAAAGGAAGGCCAACACACATCCTTCGTCCAGCACCAAATGGAATTAACTCGTGATTTTGCCCCTTAACGTCTACTTTTGATTCAAGAAACCTCTCAGGCTTGAACTCAAAAGGGTCGTTCCAACATTCAGGATCTCTTCCAATTGCCCAGACGTTCACAAGCACTTGAGTCCCTTTTGGTACGTCGTGCCCCATGAACTTTGTGTCTTGAATTGCTTTTCTTGGAATTAAGAAAGGGAGTGGAGGATGTAAACGTAACGATTCCTTGAGAATGGCTTGCATATAAGGTAGACTGTCTATATCACGCTCTTCGAACTTTTTATTAGGACCAATAACTTGTGAAATTTCTAATTTCACTTTGGTCATTGCTGGTGGATGGCGCAATAGCTCAGTCAATGCCCACTCCACACTGCTGCTAGTCGTTTCTGTTCCAGCTAGAAACATTTCCTAGAAAATTTCATATGCAAAGTAAATTTTCAAGACGAGTTTAACTTGTATACATCGTCAGTCTAAAGAACTTTTTTACTATTACATCACAACCTGATAAATATGTATAGGAAATTCTCTATAAAAACGAGATTTGTAATATTGTAAATGAGGTTATTAAGTTACATGTTACAACAAATAAAAATAATATAATTAGGTAAAATTCTTTATACTCGCGTGTATATAAGTCAAATTCTTTCAAGATAAAGTACTACACCTTTTGTTTCATATTATGTGACACTTATTATTTTGAGAGCCAAATAACATTTTTAACCATATATATTTTACTACTTTTGAATATTTTGAATTGTTCATTATTGTACTATAAAGTCCTTGTGTTTTATATATGTATATTTTATTTAGAAAAAAAATTGAAGATCGTACGTTTAAGTTCACACTAAAAATTAGTCAATATATGACCTGCAGGCCAAATCATATCACATAAAGTAGAATACAGAGAATAAAATTTAGGACCTAGGCAAAATCTCGGGATTAACTATATATCACATCATAAAATAATTGAACGGCAAAAATATCTCTCTTTAAAAAAAAAATTAGAAATCACGATAGATAATTTGAGACGAGGAGAGTAAAGAAGTTACCAATATAATAATTGTGATTTCATGTTCTGACAATTTAGCTGGTTCATCTTTTCCACTTCCTTCAAAATCAAGCAAAACATCCAATAAATCTTTAATTGATTTATTTTCTTCACCTTTTTTTCTTTCTTCGATACGTTCTTCAATAAATTTCTTAGTAATTTCTATAGCTTTTCCCATATCACGTTTCATTTTTTTTCTTAAACCTTGTATATCAAACATTTTTAGACATGGAAAAATATCCGAAATATTTGGAACACCGGACCATTCCATGATTCCCATCATCGCGTTAAAAAACATTGACCCTTGTTCAGATTCTGGATCCGTCACTAAGTCTTTAGACAAAATCAAGTTACCTAACATATTAAACGATGCTAGGAACACATAACGTGTCACCTCAATCCCCTCTAGTACCGCTCCTCCCGAGCTCGCCTTTTTCTCGATCCATCCAAGCATTTTATTCATCGATTCTTGTCTAACGAGTGTTGTCTCGTTTATCCTTTTATGTACAAACATTTCCACGGTACAAATTCGCCTCGAAAATCTCCAATAATTACCATAGGGAGCTAAAGCCATTGACCCTTTATAGAAATTATGTGCTAAATTAACATCAATTATATTCCTGTCTGAAAATATAGCATCATGATTCTTGAATAATTCACCTGATGAATATGCTGTTTGAATTACCATTGTGTTCATTGAGGGACCAATTTTTAGCCACAAAATAGGGCCATATTTGTCTTTTAAACTTGCAATTTTTTTGTATGGTTCTGATCCAGCAAGATCAAACATGTTGCCAAAAATTGGTAATCCATTTGGTCCAGGAGGTAAATTGAACTTAGAAAAAGATGATTTTTTTTGGTAAATCAAGAAGATAAAAGCTAATAAAAAGATTATAGTAGAACAAAGTATGTAAAAATAATTCAATTCCCAATCCATTTTTTTTTTCAAGAATTTGAGGAAGAAGATTGATTGAATGATTTTTGTATTTAACAATGGTAGTGTGGTCCCTTAAATAAGCATATGAAGACATGCTAGCTATTATTGTATTTATAAAAATATTGAGATTAAGTTGTATGCGCTGACGGCAGGAGTAGAGTTAGCTAGGAGTACAAGGCGTTGAAAACTTGTATTGTATAGATAAAGTTAGTATTATGTGCATGTATATATAGTAAATGTTGAATTCAGTCGACTTTTTCATGTGTTTACTTCTTTATATTTTAAATCTCCTTAGTGAAATTCTGGCTCCACAAGATTTATTTTTTTTAAAAAAAACATCAAAACAATCAAGTCATGTAATTGGTATTACATATAAATTGCAAGTTTAAAAAAATTCATATGGTTAGTGTATGTAATTTAAATTATCTTAAATTATTTCAATTACTATTAAAATCTTATAAGATCCACGTTTACTTTTTTCAATTAAAGAAAACAATTAAATACAATCCTGTTCTTCCACATGGTTAATAATTCATATTTTGCAGTTAAAAAAAACACAAAATATAGTCCTATGAGATATTTTCAAAGCTGGAAGAATATATAATTAGTATATTTAATTATTACAATACCTGTCATTTAGAAAAATGAACATTTTTATTTTATTTTATTTTGTTTGTCAACTTATGAAAAAATATAATAATTTGGTCATTACTAGGTAACAAGAACAAAAATAGTAATATTATAATATCGCTAAAATATACAGCACCCACTGTCCATTTAATATATTCTGTTTCTTTATTTCTTATTATTACTGTATTATAAATATCAATTAAGCAATAGGTTGAAAACTTTACTATTGTTAATTCATTTGAAAATGATATAAAGCAACTACGACAGAAAAAAATAATATTTATCTACATTAAATGTTTGTGTCAAATTAAGTAATTTAATCTCAAAGACTTAAAATTTTAATTGACGATACATATATCGTTTAACCATGGTTAAGAAATATATATATGTCTTATAATCAGTACTTCAATGTATGATTAGTCCATGAAAATAATTAACTTACCCAATTAAGTTATTTCTTTGTCATAGTTCATAGAAGGCAAAAGTCTCTAGGAGAACAAACCTGCACTCTTGACACCCAGAGGCGGACCCACGTGGAGGTCAGCAATTCACCCGAACCCCCTGTCGAAAAATTACAATTTCTGCTTTTACGAGTACACATATTAAAATGAACCCTCTCAATACAAAAGAGAAGCATGGCTCAGCGGCTAATAGGTTCAACTTTGACCGAAATGCTTTGGGTTCAATTCTGGCTTGCAACATTTTCCCATTTATTTTTTATTTTTTTGCTTTGAAAGGCTGAATGGGCTCTTATCTTGTTTTGGGCTCAAATCCAACTCCATTTCATTGGTTTTAGAAGGTTGAATGGGCTCTGGTTTCGGGCTCATATCTCAACTCAATAAAATGTCTCATTATTTTTGGAAAAAATGGCACAGCATGTACTCTCTTTTAACTAATTGGCAATATATAGCCCCTTTTTTTATTTTTATAACAAAAAAAGGATTTTTAAAACTAAAATTGGCATATTTTGGCCCTTTTTGCCCACGTTAATATATGGGAAGTAATTTATATTTAAATTAATTATTTTTTTAAGTTGGTGGCAGCATGTTGCAGTTTTATTGGGAAGTGGGACTTTGTTCACTTTTTTTTTCTCCTCTTTTCTCATATGCACGTTTTCTTTGATTGGTGAATATTTATTGATAATGTAAACATTTATATCATTCTTCTTCATCCTTTTTAAAACAAAAGTGTAAAAAGTTGATGTTATATCTTCTCTAGAAGATTTGCATGTCTTCACTTTTTATATTGTTAATTTTTTTTCTAGGTTTTTTAATTTTTCAAGTTGAAAGTTTTTATATTTGGGCGAAAAGTAAGGAGATAGTGATTGTGGGTATCAATTGCCATGGTTAAGAAAAATATTCCTAGAATTATTCCTAAAAAAGGAGATTCTGATTTTGATTTTGTTGAATCACCATCCAAAACTTCAAATTTTAGTCATGCAAGTTCTTTGCGGTATCCGATTCGTAGTAAGGATAATTTTAAAGGTAAACAATGTGAATTGGTTGGTGTTGTTGATAAAAAAAATTCAGAAAAGAGTTATTTCAGTTGATGTTGCTAGAAGGAGAAGGATTATAGAAAGTG